GACCTAACGAGATCCCTGTACTCTTCTTGAGTCGCCTGCCCCTTCTTCCACAAGCGGTAAACTCTCCTTTTTTTCCTGAGTCCCAGCAAGAGCTCCCCATTCAGCCAGGTGGGTCATCTTCCCCGCCCGTTCTTCTTACAGCGTATGGGGACAGCCTGCTCCTGCACCTTGGAGCATCATGGCTAAAGGCAAGAAGTGTAAACAACCTGGTGAATCCTGAAGGGAAGACTAGCTAGATACTGTGGTGATTTATCACTTTACAAGATACTGTATCAGTTGCAACTACCAAATTACTAAGCGTTGTATGCATTGTGTGAATACAGGGTTCTGTGACATTTACATGATGTCAGAAAACTCCTGACATCTGACAGTTTCTGGAGTCTTCACAGTGCTGCTGGGTGAAGGCAAGCTATCAATCTGAACTGGATTCAGTGGATCCAGTGAAACACTGGTGTCTCAGGTTGGATGCTAGCATTGTCTTTTAGGTACCAGGTAGAGTTTGCACCCACCAGCCCCATGGAGACATACCAGAGGACCTCTGTTTGAGAGTTTCAGCTTGTTCTGAAACTAATCACTATTCACATATTTATGATGCTCAAGTCATTTTGAAATCACAGTTCCCATTCTGTACTATGAAGGAAGTCTGTTGAGACACTTAAAAATGCCTTCTTAGACACTAGCATGTGGCAGCTCTGCTTCCTATTCCAAACCCTTTTCTAAGTATTTTATTTTCGTGTTCAAAGTTTGTTCATTTCATTTGTCTTTCACAGGAGAAGACAGTGATTAATCGTACATTGACTTCTAGGGAAACTAGTTTAATGCATGCAAATCAGATATCCCAGCTGAAAGTCTTCATCTTCATGCTCAAATTTCTCTCACATTTGGAAACTATATCAAAATTACCAGGATGAGTATATTACAAGGTGGTTAGGAATACCAAATACCATCACAGATAGATGGGTTGTAGATGTCATTGAGAAGATTTATTCAGTTCAATTCAGACTGTTGCTTTTATTTGTGCTTCTATTTTACTGCTTTTTAGGAACCTTTATCTTGTCTACTTTAGCAGAAGGGTAAACCTCTCCTGGTTTTGGAGCTGTAAGTTTCCACTTATTTTAGAGCAAAGGACTTTATAACTGCTTTCTGTTGCGAGTTGATGATGACACATTCAGATCTTACAGAATTAGGAAAGCTGTATTTACAGTTTCAGATTAGGATTTGTAGTGGTTGAGGTTATCACAACACTTAAAAGAATGAGATGCCTTTAAACAGCAAGACACCTTCTTTCATATTCCTATCAGTCTGTCTTACAGGTAGTACCTGTATTTTGTGAGTTTTAAGTGCTGTCAATCCAAATGCTGTCACTTCGCCCTTTCACATCAAAAGAGGATTCATTGAGGTCCTGGATATTGGCAGGGACAGGATATCCCTATTTTCTTGTTCAGCAGATCATGGCATCCTCAGAACAAGAGATGTGCCACGGCTTTCAACAGATGTGCAAAAACTACCTCCTTGTCCCAACTTCACTCGATGCCTCTCAGTTCCTCTGTTGTAAGAAAAAAATGATAATCCATGATACTTCTATGCTTTTGGGAATAACATCTCATTACGTTTTTGTTATTGTACCTTTCCATGAATATGACCTTCCAGGTATCCACCACCTCTTTAGAAAGATAAGTGACATCCAGTCCCTGATAGGTGGCTGTATCTGCCTTTTTTAGGACTCGGTTTCTCCTGAAGAAGCTGTGGGAGTTACAGTGTTAGAAGACCTCAGTGGCTGGTCAATAAAGTGGTAGATGAAAATCACTGTAAGTAAATATGAAGGGATACACGTGGGGGAAAAGGTGGTCACCTATAAAACCATGGAAAATGTCAGCTCAATA